TCTAAAGACATTATCAAGTGTTTGTTATTGGTAATATTCTGTTGATGTATAGATCATTGTTTGATAACCTCACTCATTAAATCTTCACGTTCTTTAATAAGGAAACAGTGGAATTCCATTGTAATCACGATTGAGGAGTCAGCCATGCCTCTGAAAGATATGTGTATAGGCTTTGCAGGTTTAATGACGTATCCTGAGTGTTACTTTCATTGCGCCGGTTGAAGTGAGCTGACGAACGCCGGCGGGAGAACGTGTTTTTGGGGCAGGACCGCGTGAGGACTGGCGAAGTGGAGGGCGGGGCCGGGTAGGCGACTGGCGCTGGGGGCTTGGAACCCGTTGATAACTGCTTGCAGTTCTAGTTATTTATTATTATTTATTATTCTTCTCCGCTAATACTGTATGGGGGCAGGAGCCTGAAATTGCCAGAAAAAATCTGACAAGGCAGTCTGATAGAAAATCCTGACCGCTACTCAGATTCGAAAATTTGGACCCCGAATAACCTAGGTGGCGCTATTGCGGAGGTGAACACGTTTCAGCTACTAGCTCCCAAACCGTAGGTCCTACAGTCAAAAACTTTATATGTACATGATCCTTGGATGATTCTGCATGTCGTTTGTATTGGCCACGCCCATTTCCGCCTAACTAGATTTTTTGCTAGATCGCAAAAAACACAAAACATAGTTTTAATCACCTATTCGTCATTTTTCGTCGAATCAACTTCAAACTTCGTACATATGATCTATGGACTAAGATAAGTAGTTGTGATGAAGAAACACGCGAAAATATTGAAAATTGGGCTAATGACACAATGTCAAATTCTGTGAGCTAGCTAGCACATGTGCTAATTGATGATATCTCCACCGTTGTTCAAGATAAAATGATGAGACTCTAGACCCTTACAAAGTATGAGCGGTAAGCCCTATATACTCAATTTTGTTTGGATTCACCAATAGGGGGCGCTTAAGAGTCAAAAAGTTTGTTTGAGCGAAACGGCTGGATGGATTTTAACAGAACTTGGCAGACATGTTAATCATCGGACCCTTAAGCTACATTTTGAAAATGATTAAAAAGTGGGCGTGGCTTATAGGCTTTAAAAATTTTCGCCCTTTAACTCATGAAAAATACATATTTTGTACAGAAAGTTATAAATCGTTTCAGTCATAGTGACATCTACAATCACAGAAAGAAATTGGAATTTTGTCCAATAGGTGGCGCTGTTGTACCCAAAAAATTGTTTTGGCATGTTTCTCCTCAATGTTTTAGTAAAAAAACAAATGTTCTCATCCAGTATGTTCATTGAGTCAGTCATATTAAGATGAGTATTTTAAAAAATGTTTTAAACTTATCCTAATTAGTAGAAATTTGCATAGTAAGTCAAACGTACTTTCGTTAACTCCTCCCAGCCGTCAAACTCAATCACATCACAACTTTCCCTGACAAGAGAGGAGGAGCGGCTGACGAAAAGTTGTGAAGAGATTTTGGATAATTTGCTTATATGTTTTTATATGATTTTTTAAAATAATTTTTTGGGAATGAAAAAGTTTTTTTAGCATAACTTCACTAGATTTTGACATTTTTCAAAGCTGTTCATAACAATCATACCTAAAGTCAATTCAAGTGTATATCTTGATTTTCAGCTTGATTCAACAACAGGGGGCGCTATAACTAGGAAGAAATTATACTGCTGAACTGGCTAAATGGATCTGCACGAAACTTAGTGGTTGTCATCACTATAGAGTTTTAAGACTACATTATCAATATGGTAATGATTGATCAAAGTGGGCGTGGTTTATGATCATTTAAAATTTCAAATTTGAAAAATTTCCTAAAAATCATTATTTGCATGTAAGAGGCTAAGATTTTCAGGTTCTGTTAACTGCGTAGGCTAGAGGTTATATCATGAAAACCGCAGCTCCACGAAGAGGTTTGCGCTTTAAATTTACGAAAAAACATTTTTAGGCTAGCAATTGTAGCGCAAATTCTCTTTTCACAATCTTCTTGACATTTGACACAAAGGTCACTCTTAGGTGGTTTATGAAATAAAAAAAATGTCGTCTTGATTTGAGCTCCCCCTTGTGTTTAATTATAGGACAAATTTTTGTTTACAGCCACTAATGCAAATATTATTTTATTGTAAGAAAAGTTTAACAATTATGTTCCTTACAAAATTATGAGCACAATACACACATCACAGAGGCAATCTGGGAATATTTTGAGATTTTTGTACAAAAGCATTGATTTTTAATTAATTTTTAACTTTTTGCCAGTTTTTCTGTACAGGTGGACAAAAACGTAATTAAATTTTGTTAGAAAGGTTTTTAGGTATACAGCAAATATAAACCATTCATAACATTCCACATGTACCTATGGTGATCTGAGATTATTCTACTAATTTTACAAAGTAGCACTATTTTTTTATGAATATTTAAATTTTGGCTGTGATCCTTATAGTTATATTCACCAATTTTTCTTCAAAAAAGCTTTGAATCTACTGATTTAAAAACAGCAGCATATTATTCCGCATGTTAACCTTGCTGTGTGAGAATATTTTGGTAATTTTAGGATGATATATGTATTTTTCAGGATTTTTAAGTCATTTGATCAGTGAGTCACAAAGTGAAACTTATAGTTTTTGTTGAAAATCTATTAAATCTATGGACATTATCAAGTATTTATGGTATTTGTAATATTCTGTTGATGTATAGATTATTGTTTGATAATCTCACTCATTAAATCTTCACGTTCTTTAATAAGGCAACAGTGGAATTCCATTGTAATCACGATTGAGAATTCAGCCATGCCTCTGAAAGATATGTGTATAGGCTTTGCAGGTTTAATGAGGTATCCTGAGTGTTACTTTCATTGCGCCGGTTGAAGTGAGCTGACGGGACGCCGGCGGGAAAACGTGTTTTTGGGGCGGGACCGCGTGAGGACCGGCGAAGTTGAGGGCGGGGCGGGTGGACGACTGGCGCTGGGGGCTTGGAACCCGTTGATAACTGCTTGCAGTTCTAGTTTAAACTTTGTAACTTGAACTTAACGTTGGTAAAGCTACTGTTAGCATTTTCGCTAACAGCTTCTTGCGTTTGGATAAGCTGTTACGTTTTATTTATGAAGCGCATTCACAAGGCATTACAACCAAACAAGGCGCTGTACACTAGAAATGTTGGTTAATTAAACAAGCGATATTTAAACATGTTGAACACATAAAAAATAATTTGTGGTGCAGATCTCCCTTTTATTACATTTAGAGTGTTGTGGGTTTTCGGTTTAGTTTAAAATATCACCTTGAGTTTGGTTTAACTGCCCAGTTTAGAGTTTGGAACTTTGGAGATTCTTATTTTGGTCCAAAACCCTGTAATCTTTGCCCAGCGGGACATCCCTAGTTATCTGTACTTTTGTTTTAATTCCCCACAGGCAGAATTAGTTTTATTACTCCCAACCTGTGGATGGAAAGATTTTTTTTTTGTAGTTGTAAATAAACCTGATCATCATTTTAACTTTTAAATCCCACATTATTGTCCCTTCCTTTTTGCACACGAGCCAAACTCCCCAGGAAGAGTCGTAACACCACTCGCCTCACGCACATAAGTGACCAAAACAAAGCAGCATGGAGACACTCCGTCTTCTACCACCTCTCAGGCAGCAGCCTGCACTCCCAAGTTCTACACGTCACCAGAACATAACCAACCAACACAATAAAAGCAGTGTTATACAAAATGGAAGGCCTGTAGTGTTTATTCTCTTACAGTAACCATTTATCAGTTTTTTGGAGGAATTTATTAGAGATTTTTTGGTTTTTATTAACTGTGCAATAGAAAAATAATCATTAGATTAATTGTATAAATAGTCATTAGAATAGTCGACTATTCGATAAAATAATCGTCAGAATAATCGTTTTAAAAATAATCGTTTACCCCCAGCCCTAACAGTCACCATCGTCATTGGCGGAGCGCTGCAACAGTCGGCTTATGCATATGCATGAGATCCACAAGGCACTTTACACTGACTATTTATGGCAGTAAGTGGGCGTGGTGAAGACGGGATGTGACTCAAAAGCAGCTGAGAAACTTTCTAGATAGTATCTGATTTATGAAGCAGAGATTGCGTGCAGCTGTGCGCACCCCATGTTTGATAGATCACAAACCTACTTGGTGAAAGTATTTTTTTTCTGAGCTTAAGTACGGTTTTAGTAAGGATTCCACGCAATGTTTGATAAATGAGACCCCTGGCATGTACTTTTGGTCCCATGTCCTTGAGTGATTTATTAACTAGGAGCACTTTGAAATCTATTATGTGGTTTACTGGTAACTAGTGTAATCTAAGAACAGGAGGGATGTGCTCTGTTCTCTTAGTTCTTATGAGATTCTGGGTCATCGGTCCAGAGAAGCTCAAGTTGCAAATGCTGTATTCTGCCCACAAGGAGCGGAGGGGGCTGAGAGAGTATTCGTTCTCCCTGTAAAAGGTCATTTTAGACCCTATTGGCTCAAGATCATGAATTACAACTATGCCAAATTTACTTAGTGTTCCTTTAAACTGTCCAGTTTCTTTGCATCTGCTTGGTGAACCTTAAAGGGTTTTCACTAAAGGAGTATTTATCCATTGGTTTGATTTTGAATCTTCTTCTATGGTATCTGTCAAGAAGAGTGGAGGATCACTTTATGTTCCTCATAACCTTGTTTACTGTATGAACAGCCAAGTTAGTTACATGTAACTATAAAACCATGTAGCTCAGTGACATCATGCATCACTCACCGGCTGATTGCGGAAAGCCACTACGAACATAAAGCTCTCTCAACAGGATCCAACCTGATTTGGTCTGTGACAGCATATGGCGGAGGGAGTTTGGCATTTTTTCCATGAGTAAAGAAATACAGACGATTAAAATGTCCTTTAACTTACATTACTGAAATTCTAACACCTACTATATTGCCGTAATGTTTACATTGTCTCGATTACCAACATTTAGATCTAACTTAACCACTCCATCTCTTTTCCCACAGCTTCAGACCTAATGATGTCAAAGATCGGCACTCTGGTGTTTATGACATGTGAGTAAAAGTCAAGTTTTTTCATACAATCTTTTTTTCTTCAAAGACTAAGAAATCGGTTGATGAAGACACGAAAAAACTAAAGTGGATTGATAAGTCATGGAGCTTTCAAATTAAGAAAATTAACAGACTCGTTTTGAGGACCTGGAAAAACTATCCATTTTATCTGGTGTTCACTAAAAAACTACGGTATCCCTAATGTGACAAATTAGATGATATCTTGTGAACAGGGAAAACTATTTGGTACAAAATATTTTTTCATGCATGCAAGAAACTATTTTTCTCTTTTGCTTTTGTTTCATCTGGGTCTACATATTTGTGGTTAAATGTTGAATATGGAACAGTTTATTAAAAAGCTATATTTAAAAAAAAAATGAAAAAACATCCCCACATGTTTAAAAATCTGCAAAAGACCCTTTTATTTAAAGATGCTTTTATCTAAATCTTTTATTTTCTTATTTTTAACTTTCATCTGTTTATGAAATTTTGTATTTTTATGACTTTTTTTCTGATATTAATCTGTTTCTGTTTTGAGACCATTATGATTTTATGACTTTGTTTTATTTTGTTTTGATCTATGTGAAGTACTTTGTGATTCTATGTCTGTGACAAGTGCTATATAAATAAAATTTACTTACTTAGACATCATGGTGAGGCCACCACCATGCTTCACTGTTGGAATGCTCTTTGCCTGGTTTCCTCTAAACATGACGCCTGGCACCCACTCCAAAAAGTTCAATCTTTGTCTCATCAGACCAGACGTTTTTGTTTTTAGACTGAGAATCCTGCAGGTGCCTTTAGATAAACCCCAGGCAAGTGTCTCAGCGTTTTGTGTGAATCGTGTGGGTAAAGATATTTCCATGAGTGCAAAATGCCATCTGTTAAAAATCTCTGTAGTAGAGCAGAAATGACCTGAATCCCCATCTCACCACGTTGACATGTCTCCGTTTGTCTCCTTACAGTCGTGTCAGTAATGTTTGCAGAAGCAGAACCCGGTAAGAACCTCACAGGATTTGATACATGTTGACCACATTTTAGTCTTTAATGATGTCACTTGTTCACACGTTGATGCCACTGAGAGTTTTCTATTTAACTCAGCGTGTTTCTTTTCCCACAGTGGAAGAGGACCCTTTTACCTTTGGTAATCCTCTGTTCTCTCATCTTTTTGGATTTATGTAGAAGTTCTATCATTGTTTGTGAACATGAAGTTTCTTATGTTCATTTTGAAGCCATGTTTTAATATCCACAACCAAATCAGGCATTAGTTTTGGTTTCAGTTTCTCGTTGCTTTCATGTTTAAGGGCTGCTTTGTTAATGGTGACTAAATCTAAATCATTGTGTGTTTGAGCAGACTACCACCAACTGCGTGTTGGAGGTCTGATCCTGGCTGCTGTCCTCTGTCTCATCGGCATCACAATCCTGCTAAGTAAGAAACACAAACACACACACACATATACACACCAGATGTAAAGATAAATGATCATCTTTGTTTCTGTAGGTGGCCACTGCAGGTGCAAGTTCAACCAGGGCAAGAGGTGAGGCTCTCAGCAGAAAAATTAAATTATATTTATAAAATTAATCTGGACATTTCAAAATAAGAGCATATATACAAAATTTAATGGGCTCTGCTCTCTTTTCAGAAGGAGAACAGGAAGCAATGCTCAGCAGATGCTCACTGACCAGGGTAACATAAACACACAGCTTTTACCTAACCTTCCTTCAACAGATTATATTTAAACATCTCTATGGTTGAAACTCCAAATGACTCCCAAAACATCAAGGTCGTTTTGACTAATGCGGTTAAACCAACCAAAGCTTTTCTCCATAAAATTAAATGCTGGATGGCAAACAGTTGTCTCCAGTTAAATAATGAAAGACAGAGGTTATTCTTTTTGGTTTGTCAAGAGTCACCAAACAGTACATGTCCATGAACATGCCAAGAACCTTGGGGTAATTTTTGACTCTAATCTAACTGTCCAAAAACAAACTGTAGTTTTCTTTCATTTAAGGATAGTGGCCAAAATTAAGCAATTACTTTCTCTCCAAATCTTGAAAACAGTCACTACAGCTCGTATTTCCTCCTAGCTTGATTGTTGCAACTCCCTGTATTTTGGTCTGTCTCAGTGTGCTCTGACGCGTCTACAGTTGGTGCAGAATGCTGCAGCTAGACTGATAACAGAATGAAAAGAGCGCATCAGTCCCATCATTATGTCTCTGAAATGGCTCCCAGTTAATTATCGCATTGAATTAAAATGTACTGTATTCGTTTTTGACTCGGCTCCCCTGTACATTTTCGAACGCCTTTCCCCGTGTAATGATGTTTTCACATCTAGGTCAACTCAGTCCGGTCTTGATAGCGTATGTTGTGTTCACATCTGGGTAGCCTGCTTTTAAATTATTTATTTTTGCGTTCAGCTGCCCCCCCCCCCCCCCCCCCCCCTTTTTTTTTTTAGACCTCCTACACGGCGGTCTGGCTGGGGCTGCGGTGACCCAACACACCCACCGCCGAATAAGATTCACACCTTCCTTTAGGGGGAGCCTCTGGTTGGCAAATAGAATCAACCTGCAGGGGCTTCTCGAATGCGCTATTCACTCTGGATACTGTCGAGTGAACATCTCCTCTGTTGCTCCAGCTCTCTCTCTCTCTCACGAAGACTGTGTGTGTTCTGTGATGAGAGAGGGAGAGCTGCCGAGGCTGAAGCTGTGCAGCATGAGGACTAACTGCTGTGAAGAGCACCCACAGCACTCTCAATGGGAGAGAGAGCAGAAACAATATCAGAGCCAGTTTCCAAAAGTAACATTGCTCACAGCCGTCTTTGTTTACATAAGAGAGACACCACGGACTTCTCTGCCATCTTTTGCCCCACCCATGTGTTCAGAGATCTCCATGTTCTTGTGAAGGCTGTGTGAACAAAACCTGGCGGTGTGTAACTGGGCCGACGCTACCAGGACTGGACTGGGCCAACCATAGTATACCGTGTCTTAAATCTGAAAATTAACTACTCTTAACCACGGTATGAATTACAGGGGAGCAAAGGGGAGCCTGACTCTCCTGTTAGGGTGACAGGCTCAGAAGATCTAGTTTCTACCTATATTACATCAATTATATCAGGAGTGGGGAACCCTGGTCCTCAAGGGCCGGTATCCTGCACGTCTTTGCTCCAACACTTCTGATTCAGTGGTTGATTCACCTGTTCAGCAGCTCATCAAGCTCTGCAGAAGCCTGTTAATCACCTGCTGATTGAAATCTGGTGTGTTGAAGCAGGGTTGAAACTAGGGCTGGGCGATATGGCAAAAATAGAATATCACAATTTTTCCAATATTTTATCACGATTTTGATTTTATCACGATTTTTTTTTCCATGAATAGCATAACTTCAATTGCGTATTAAAGAAGAGAAATATTGAACAAACAAACATTTATTCATATTAGGGATAATCAACACAGTGCTAACACACTTATATTTTAAACTCACACAAGAGATGATAAAAGCCCTGAGAGAAACAATTACAAAAATCAGTTTTTTTCGTTTTTCAAGTAACTTAACATAAATTAAAATCGTAAACATATTTAAAGTGCAAACATGTCAATTGCAAACGTATTGTGCAAACATTAACTTGTTCAAAATACTATGTAGCTCCCAGTTGCTCATGTAGTGGATAGTAAAGCTCAAATACGGCTCTGATGTGCGGCTGGACCAGAGATCGCTTGTGGTAGCAAATAACTGCGCATTCTGAATATTTTCTGTGGAATGGCGGTGTTCGAAAAATACTTGCGGCTGGAAAACTCGTAGCGTGGATCCAATGTTTTTATCATTTTCTTAAATCCCACTCCTACTGTTTGCACGGGACACAAATCTTTAACCAAGTGGTACGTCACTGCATCTGTCACGCTGCTCCATCGTCTGCTGTCTCTGTCATAGGGAGTGAGTTTTGTGAGTGTTTCTGTTAGCATTTGCTGCCTGGAAGAAGCACTAGCCGCTGCAGCTGCAGGCTTTTTAGCTTTAGCTGCCAGCTGGCTCTCATTGTATTGTTTGGGATGCCTTCTTTTCAAGTGATTAAACAAGTTTGTGGTGTTGCCATCACTTGCCTTGACGCTCTCCTTGCAAATGACGTTTCGCTGCTCTTTGTCATCTGGTGAAAAGCCAAACCAGTTCCATATAATGGATGAGGCGTTCCTCTTCGGAACGAAAACCTCGTTGTCGCTCAGACAGCCGTGGCCGAAGCCATGTTTGTTCCCACACAGGTGAAAACAAGCGGGGCACTAATATATTACTATGACTCACTCTGATTGGTTAAGGGTCAAACAAAGGCGTGTCTTTCGCCTGGGGTAAGTTCCCTTTTCATTCAGAGGCAGAATTTCAACAGCAGAGCTGTGAATCGTGATGAAAAGGTCTCTCAAAAATGACAGACCGTCAGATGTGTAGATCGTAAAACGGTCTAAAATCGTCATATCGCCCAGCCCTAGTTGAAACTAAAATATGCTGGATAGTGGCCCTCGATGGACCAGGGTTCCCCACCCCTGAATTATATGGACCCTGCGCATGGCCACAGTAACATTCTGAAAGTGGTGCCACAAAATATTATAAACACAGGATCGTTCATTCTACTCATAAAACTTTCTTTTAGTCATAATCGACACGCTCTGCTACTGCAGCGCTCATCACCTGTGGTCCGGTGACTCACTGCCGTGGCTTGCGCAGCACGCTCTCCGCTACTATATAGATGCCTTTAATCGGCTTAGTTCAAAAGTAACTCATGAGGTGAAAAAGTAGCAAGGTAAAATAGACCCCCACACCACCACCGTCACCATGGTTGCCTACTGTTGTGACTTAAATGAAGATCAGATCACATTTTATGGCCAATATGTGCAGAAATCCATATATATCCAAAGGATTCACATACTTATTTCTTACAACTGTAAATAAAATTGATTTGATTTGACATTGACCTTTAAACAGATTGTATTTGTGCAGGTAGAATTTATATGTCAACAAAACAATTCTCAAAATTAAATATAATAAAACAACTAATTTTAATTAGAATCCAATGTAACTGCGTTTGTAGATTATAGTATTTTAGACGATCGTGTCGGGTGGAAAATGCGTACGTCTCATCTCCCTGCTGGCACGCTGCCACAGTCCAAAGTTATATTTACACTCCATCTGTTTCATCATGAACAGCCTCCTGTTACACACACAGAGAATGGAAGGCGTTCATAAACGTGGACTGAAATGCTGCCGACCTCACTGTTCACCAGCTGGTGGGAAGCTGGGAGTCCATCAGGCAGAGAAGGAGGAAGGAGTGGACCAGCCGTGTTAGAGGGAGTCACAGATTTAGTTGTATAGCGACTTCCTCAAGATTAAAATCACAAGGTGCTTCACAAGCACAATAAAAAAAGTTTGAAGCAAAAAACAAGGGAGTTTGAAAATGTACAGAACTGATGGAAACAGCAGCATGAACAAAAGCTAGTGATGGAGACAATGGGATGAACAGGAGGTCACAGCTGGTGAGCTTTCCGCTGCTTTTTAAAGGAGACCACTGAGTCCACTGATCTCAGGCTCAGGGGGAGAGAGTTCCAGAGTCTGGGGGCTACAGCAGCAAATGATCTGTCACCTTTGGTCTTTAGCCTGGCGCGCTGCACAACCAGTAGGCTTTGGTCACTGGACCTCAGGGACCTGCTGGGGTTGTAGGGAGTGAGAAGATCACCAACGTATGTTGTGCTTGTCCGTGTAAGGCCCAAAAACCAGAAATCAATTCTGAACCGAAAACCAAAAATGAGGACACCAAGGCCGTAAACCGAAATGCTGGCATTGCAATAAATAAATACAAAACTATGAAAATATTTATTTAGCACTGACATAACAATGCACAATATAAATTAAAACTCAAAATAAATTGTTTCACTTGACCCCACGCGTGTACATTAAATAATGTTTCCATAAAATTCATTTTTGTTCACGAATTCAGAAGATTCTAAGATATTAAAATCATAATTGCTGCTTTTTCAGACTTCGAGTACACCGCCATGTTGGTTTTCTGTTTACTAAATGTGTGCACCACATTGGTCTAAATTAACAATCACATGAGAGCTGCTTCACTATATTCTCGTTAAGCTCAACACAAACTAGTCTCAAATGACAACAAAGATCATAATAAAATAGCATTACTAAAAGGGAAAAAACTTCTTTGGAAATCAGTACAAATTTACTATTTATGAAGCAAAGGGCAAGTCGCTACAAGAGATCGGAAGGAGACGAAAGAAAAACGGGGATCACCTGTTGGCCTATTTTGGCCATGTGATTTAGGTCTTACAATTGAAAACTGAAAATGCACTTTATGGTAATTTTTGGTCAGAAATTTTCAGTGGCCGATTTTTTGATGTATCCTTAGTTTCAAGTTATTTCAGTGACTATTCTTGCGCTTTCTGTTAATACCATGGAGGTACGAACAAGTGGATGGATTTTCCACTAATTATAAATAATAGATTCCCCAAGACAGACCCCTGAGGGACTGGATTAGAAACCATGTATTTGTAAATCCCATTGCAGCAGTTTTACAGTATAAATTTTGACTTTATAAACTAAACTGAGACATGGCTGACTTTATAAATGATGGGATTGGACAAAAGGCTAAATTGAGGCATAACCAAAGAATTATTATTTTCCTTTCTTTTTAAGATTTTTCATGTCCGTCTGACTTGTTTTCAGGTCGCGCGTGTGACTGCTAGAAACCAGTGATTACACCAACTTCCCAAACCTCCAACCAACAGAAACCATCCAGCAGTGGGATTTGTTACCGCAGAAGAGATGTTACTGTTGTTGTTATTTAGACAGATTAACAGAATGTGCACCAGAGTTTAGGTGTGAATCTTATCGCCTGATAACTGAACTACTGATGAGCTGCTTGCACCTCCACACACACAAATATAACTGTACGTGAGCTTGTCCCACTTTCATTTCACTCACTTAAACCCTCAAACCAAAAGTTGTGAAATGCTGTTTGTGTTAGTAGACTTAACTGACTGAAGTGAAAGTGATTTAATTCAGTAATAATCACAAGTGATCACCAAAAGGATTGTAATACTGTAGGTAATGTCTGGCATCATTTCTGTTTTTTGTTTGCTGTATGTGTAAGGTACATGTGGTTGTAGATATTGGTCTTCTGTTAGCTTAACCCCCATTGATGTTTTCATGTCTAATCTATGAATCTGTGCCATCATAAGTCATTAGTGCTTCTGCTTAGGAGTGTTGTAGATTGTACTGTTCAGAGTCATCTATTTTCAGTTTATATAAAACATCTGTTTTAAAAACGTGTGTTCTTGTATTTACTACAAACAGAGGACCATCATGAGGTTTTAACCAACAGAGTGAGGTTGTTTTTCAAAGTAAGGGCATTTTTGTGTTCCTCACTTTTTAAAATGTCTACTAGTTGGTTTTAGAGGTATGGTGTGAAATAAGTTTTAGTTAAGTTTAGGATTAGGAATAGATCGTCTATGGTTGGGGTTAGGCGTGAAACTGTCACAAAAATGAATGGAAGTCAGTGGATGGTCCTCACTAAAACAGAAAAACAAGTGTGTGTGTGTGAGAGAGAGAGAGATGGTCACACTCACCCATTCATTTCTCATACCACTTGCTCCAAAGCAGGTTAGCCAGTGTCTATTTCCAGCAGTCAACAAGCAATAAGTGAAGGATACCCTGAACATATCTCCAGTCCATCACAGAAACAAGTAACAGGGTATGTAGGGATGCAACGATACCACTTTTTTCCAAACTGATGCCATACCGATATTTGGATCTGAGTACTCGCAAACAAATTGCAACAAATTGCAGTACAGCTTTTATTTTATTCTCTGCTTTCAACTGGTAAAGACTGAGGTAAATTAAAAAAAATAAATATCTAATAGAAATGATCACTAAACTAAAATATTAGGAGAACAGAAATGGCAGGTTACAGTGAAGCCACTTTCAGGCAACTGCATTGGTATTGGTTCCTGTTATCTGTTAACTTTTTTCCCTGCCCGTATCTTTTTGGTCTGTGGGACGAAACCAGAGGAAACCCATATGGCAAAAATGTATCAACTCCACATGGGTAGGGAGAATATGCTAACTAGATTGTAATCAAGATTGTACCCATCTGTAGGGATGGTATAAATTTCATGTTTTTAATTCTCATTTAGCAAAACAGAATTGTACGTGTGTGTGTGAGCGTGAATGTGTTAAATGCGCTGACCAATGTACTCTTAAGTGAAATTATTGTTTTAATGTACATGGTTTTTTTTATGTAATTGTTTTCTTGGGCCCAAGTGCGAACTGGCCCTTTGGGACTATAGCCCTCGGCTATAATCTGGTGTGTTTACATTCATGTTTTTCTATTCATGTATGTTCATTAACATGCACTGTCCCAAACAAATAAATTAAACTAAACTACACACAGGGATAGGGAGATCATGTTAACTACATAGAGGATAGGGAGAACATGCTAAGAGAAGGTTGGACATTTCTACTGATTAATAGCTTGAAAAAAGTCCTGTGTGCTGAGAGGTAACTTCCATACTTAAAGCACTGACTTCATACATAATAAAGGTAAAGAGTGTCTAGTAAACACCGTGATTAAGAATTCACAAGTAACCTGTTCGCACTGATGAGCTGTGTCTCCATCTAGTGGTTGAATCCAGAAAAAAGCTCAAACTGAAAATGAGCTGAAAACAATCTGCAACTTATTTTCATATTTCTCTAATTTTATTAAACACTACCAAATACATTATGTAAATATCCACCTCTTCTATGTGTCCTTCAATGATTTCTACAAGTGTCAAGCTGATCAGGCCTAAAGAAAACAATGCAGGTGTCCTAGAAACCCCCAAGTTGCTTTACAACACAATCAGTTACCCCCCCCCCCCCCACACACACACACACACACGCGCGCACATTCACACACTGGTGGTGATCAGCTACAATGTAGCTACAACTGCTCTAGGGCTCACTGAGAGGAGCAAGGCCGAGCACTGGTGCCATCAGTCCCTCCAATCACCACCAGCAGGCAATGTGGGTTAAGTGTCCCCTCAGTGACAGGCTGAACAGGGATCAAACCTGCAACCTTTCTATTACAGACACTTAACTCTGCCACCATCGCTCCTGGTTAAGTTGCATCTTCTAAAGCCCAGTTAGAATCAAATGAATGAGGTTATTTACAAGTGTTGGTCTAACTGAATTGAACGATTGACTTCCACTAGCTAAGTAATCATTCTGAGTCAATCACTTCTTATTTAAGTAGATTCATTTGACTGTTTCCCTGTCTAAAGCCTCGTTTACACTGAACGCGGTCCAGTTTCCGTGCGGCTTCCACAAAGATCAAAAATCATTGAGTCCAATCAGAGCAAATACTCAGGTTGCACGTATTCCAAGATCTGGAAAGTTTCTGCGTGGAGTCTACTTTTTTTGGACACTGCCTGCGAATCGCCATGAATTTAAAGAAAATTCAGACAGGAAATGAGATGCATTTCAGCAAGGTGCATTTGGTTTATTTAACGAAAGATGTTGCATTAGTCTTTCCAGTTTTATTCAGACACTAGTTCATAGGGTGTGATAGTACACATAATTTTTATAGGTACATTTTAAACTTATGTCAAGTTTCTAATAATATGGTGTTTATGTGGAGATATTCAGCACACAAACTGCAGTCCGTGTGAATGGTAGTCCATCCTGAAGCTATACAGAAACTGGACCTCCTCTGTTCTGCATTCAGTGTGAAACAAGCTTAATCACTCTAGTTGAGTCTACTCAGGAGATCACTGGCTTTCTTCTCTGGATGGTCTGCAAAGTAAACTCAGCTCTGATGCCTCTGGGGGAAGCTATAACTAATTTGTCGTCAATCAACATCCCAGTTATTGCAAACTTTTAACATCTCGGGATGCCCATATAACCTAATTTGGATATTGTATCAAATAAAAAACTTTTTTCGAACCTTATTTTGCACGACAAGTGCAGCAGATGGGAATCACTTCCCATGTCTTTCCAATCTCCTTCATCAGTTATCAAATTGAATATCTTACCACGCATAAACAATTAAGCTCTATGCTGCCACTCGCACCACCACAAGGATATTGGAAGGAAATACCGTGGGTATAGGGTTTACTTATGGAACAAGGATAAACCAAGAATAAAGGCTTCTACATTATATTGGCCCAATCATAGGTGGCATCAGTCCTCCAATTTTTGAATGGTTCTCTTGGTGCTATGTTATGCGTGCATTAACAGAGTGGCTTAAACAGTACATTTCTGTCTCATGGAAACCAACAGAAGACAAATTTCTTCAGCCATAAAACATCCAAAATTTCTATGTTCCAATCTACCTCTCAAAGTTGTAAAAACCAAGTATGGGCTCATTATAGATCACCTTATCTCTACAAGGGACAAGGTCAATCATTAATCAACGCTCCAGCTGTGGCAAAGTCTGTTTATTTGTCATATTCTGTGTCCTTCTGACCCCTGCATCCTCCTGTTCTCACTCCAGGTTGTCCTCTTGTGTCCCATTGTTATCCCCAGCCCTCTCTAGACTACCCTCAGGTGTCTTCCTAATCACTCCCTGATAATTCCTAGTCAATCTTATTTTAGTCCTCCTCATCCATCTAGTTATTAGTTGTTTATTTTTGCCCTCAGTCTTTAGGTTTAGTTTTATCTGTGTTTTAGAGGTTAATGTTTATCTGCCATCCTGCTTGTTTCTTTCTCCTTATTTAGGTTATTGTATGCACCTGCCTTCCCTCCAGATCTCACTCCTCACACCTGTCACCTGTTCCCCTGATCACATCCCTCTGTGTTTAAAACCCTGTCTTGTCCTTCAGTGTTTGTCGATCCATTGTTGTGTCTACGTTGTTCTGTTCCCTCCCGAGTTTTTGCCCGAGTCCGTGCTCAGTTGTGAGTGAGCTTCTGTTTTGTTCTGTTCTGGTTTGCTGGTTCAAGTCTCCTCCTTTAAATAAAGGATTTACTTATTTACATCTGCTCCTATCTCATGTGTTCTGCTTTTTTGGGTCCTAACCTCCTGCTTAGCGTGACATTATTTGATATGATTTGGAAAAGGCAGTCTTATCAATGGCAATTGCCGCTTGGTGCAAAAGAAGGAGGTGTCATGATCACGTAGGGAGTTACTGGCGATCTCTGGCCAGCAGCTATATTGAAAAAAGTAAACACGGTCTGTAAATTTCACTTTTGTAAACATAATCAGCTGATATGATAATCTGGAGCTATGCAGCACTCCTGGAGCTTTTCTCTGTTAGAGATGGAGGTCAGATCACCAGATACTGCACTGTGGGGGACAAACACCTTTAGGAGCGGCTTGTTAAAAAAGTGTAATAACAGCGGCTTTGATCACAGTAAAATCAAGTTATGTCCAAGATAAACGGAAGTCCGCAACAGGGCAGAGACCGCCCCCATACACCCTTAATGCCGCCATTGCGTAATCTTTTGTAAAAATGGCACGATTGTGCCACATTACTGCCACGGTCTGACCACTTATAAAAGACCTAAGGCTCCCTGATGCCGCTTAAGTGGTGCAGAAAATTTATGGCATTGTTTTGTAAAAACTGCTTGATTAAACATCTCTGGAGAGTTCTTGATTTTGTGTGTTTGTGTCAAAAGTGTTGAAAACGCCTTCCACCTGGTGGCTGGTTGCAATACAATTTTCAAGCCCCTTCAACAACGAGGACATTGTCCTGGTTTGAAATACTTAAACATATCTCAGATTACTGTCTTGATGCTGTATGTTCTAATAATTATTTTCACTGGTTCAGCTGTAATTTTTGTCAGATACTTAAACAATGCGGCATGGTATTATTTTGATAAATGTTAATGGTGTTTGTGACAGGCTGCTGTAACAAAAAGCCTACAGATCTTTGTGAGTTATGTGTTTATTTAACATCCGTTCATACTTCAATGAACACTTGTTTTATGAAACCTGAGATATTCCTGGGATGAGCCTCCAGTATTTACAAATCTTAAAGGTCAGTTCTCAAGCCTGCCTCGGCCTATTGCAATGGAGTGGAGCTGTATTGCATCACTTCCTTCTTTCTCAAGTGACTCCACCTCTTTCTGAAAACATGAATACTAAGAACGACCTAAAGTTTATTGGAATAAAGAATGTAAACATGCCTTAAAGTAGCAGTGAGGATGCTGAGTCCCTGTTTTTGCTTTAGTTTTTGCAGAAGCTCATTGCCTCCACACCAAAGGGGCAAATCAGGGATGCACAATTTATCAGCATCAATATTTTTTAACATCTGTATTTGTATTTATATAATATAAAGTTTCCATCTCACGCTCCACGGGTGCTTTCTCATTCTTCCAAGCTCGGGTCCTCCACCAGAGTCCTGGGAGCTTGAGGGTTCTGCGCATTATCTTTCTGCGCTGTTCCTAGAACTGCACTTTTCTGGACCGAGATGTCTGATGTTCTTCCTGGGATCTGCTTTAGCCACTCCTCCAGTCTGGGGGTTACTGCCCTGAGTGCCCTGAGTGCCCTGAGTGCCCCGATGACCACGGGCACCACCAATGTCTTCACTCTCCAGGCTTTCTCAAGTTCGTTCCTCTTTGAAGCCCGGGTACTTCTGGTATATCATCAAATATCGGTTATCATCATAATACCAATATTGGACATCGGCCCAGAAAATTATATTGGTGCATCTCTAGGAAAAATTATCACATATTGAACACTTGTGAATTTCAAAGTCAAAATTATGAAATTGCATCCATCCATTTTCTAATGCATTCTCAAAATCTGCAGTAGCAGGTCCAGGAGGGAATCCTGACTATCCCTCCTCAGTAAAGGGTCCTCTGGGATCTCAAAACATTCCCTAGCCGGAGAGGCACACAATTCCTCCAGCAAGTTATCTTCCCCTGGTTCTCCCACCAGTGGAACGTACCCAGAAACTCTCCAGGTCCTATAAAAAGGACACATCCCAAATTCAGAATCATACACCAGCTGACTCGTTTCACTGAGAAGAAGCAGCAGCTCTAAGTAACAGAGTGCTGTCCAAACTCATAAATACGACATTTTTCCGACTTTTAAACTAGTTTTAATTGTTATGAATTAGACTCGTATTAGACCACGCCCATAACTTCACCCTCAGGCTCCTCCTCCGTCCCTCACCTGGGTGACGTACGGTGTAGCGGCGCAGGAGGAAGGATCTAATAAGCGTTGGTTGGTTAAAAAAAATAAAAAGTTTTCTCTCAGGTTAAAACAACGACCCAAGTAGTGTCCGTTAAAGCAGACTAGATGGACCCAAACAAGCCGCCCAGCCCTTCTCCGATGGCGTGGACCGAGGGGAAGCCCTATGCGGGTCAGTATCTTCCTCCTCCATACAACGGCGCTGACAATCCGGGACCTCCACCTCAGCCCGGCCCGGGGTACCCACCGCTGCCGCAGGTAACCGTCTGTACTAATATTTAAAATAGTATGTGCCTTATAGTTCAAAGAAAAAAATAAATAATTAACAAGAAACAAAACTATATATATATATATATATATATATATATATATATATATATATATATATATATATATATATATATATATATATATATTTAATGAGGTTGTGCAAAGGTAGGCTACTACAATTTTCCAGGAATTCACCTAATTTCTCTTTTAAAAGATATTCATCCTAAACAAAACCTAATCAACATCATTATCCTAACCAAAATTATTCAAAACAACAACAGTAAACTAACAAATAATGTTAAGCTTCTCCCTTAGCTTTTTTCTTTCATCAAAGAGGTGTGTGTGTGTGTGTGTGTGTGTGTGTGTGTGTGTGTGTGTGTGTGTGTGTGTGTGTGTGTGTTTTATCAGCTGTTTTTTTTAAGTCCAGTGCTTCATTTATTTATTGTCTCCATTGTTTGTCCAGGGCTCAGTAGGGCAGGTTCGTGTGACATTCATTACAGAACTTTTTATTTATTTATAAATGTGTTTGGGGAAATAAAGAAAAAAACAAAATTTTCTAACTATAGACACTGCCTGTTCATAATCAGCTGTAATTTAGCGGGATGGCCGAATCTGATTGGCTAATCTGTAACTCATATAGACCTTTTTTTTCCTATTTAGTGAAAGCACCATTAATAGTGTTAATAGATTTTCACTGACAAAGGTTTTACTTTAATCATTATTTTCACACAAACAATTACATTTCTGTCTCATGTTGTTTATTAGTTATGTTATTTTTAATGTAAATCAGAACTGGCCTATATTAATTACAATCAGAACTGTACAAGGTACTGAACTTGGTATCGACCCTAAACCAGAATCAGTGCATCTCTAAAGTAAAAACCAGATTAATACAATGCTATGGCTATTTGGGGATATTAAATAAAATAGCCTAAACTAAAGAGGTATTTTATATTTTAAAAATGACCTAAAACATTTATTTATTTGCCCTTTGACCTGTTGTTTTCAGGAAATAAATGTTATGTGCATTTCTCAGCTGCACAGATTAGCTGGTATATTTATTGTTATTATGTTTGGTTTGTTCCCAGTCAGAGTGCATCTAACCAAAATGAGCATTTTGTTGTACCACAGTATGGAGCAGGATACGGGCAGCCGCAGTACCCCATGGGCGAGCCGTACTCAGGACAGCCAGGCATCATCACTGTCCAGCCCGTCATAACTGTGACTCAGCCTCTGGCGATCCCGGTCAACGACTACCTGGGCTTCTCCATCTTCACCCTGCTGTGCTGCTGCCTGCCTCTTGGCATCGCTGCCCTCATCTACTCCATCTCAGTGAGTTTCATCTGAATATACCTCCTTCCTCGACTTTTGTATAAATAAACACGTTTCATCCGAAAGTCAAGTCAGCCGATGCACAACATGACTCGGATGATTTCTGCTGCTTGAAGGGAGAATGATTTTTTTTATTTTATACTGAATACAGCAGAAATAGAAGAGCCCATATTTAGGAAGCACCATCTCCACTTGGCCGTGACAGCCCGTTCCATTCCGTTTCTTAGCTTATAATCATTTATTATAGTAGACCTGCATGCAGCAGTTTGTTTTTTCTCTCTGTAAAGTTGCTGCTGCGCTCATACGTGTAATTAAAGATAAACCGCAGCAGCAAAGCTCTTTAAATCACACAGTACTGGTAACCTGAGAGCTGGATTTGGAGATTTCCAGTTAGAGACCAAAAGCTCAGGAACCTGCTGAGGTCAAACCAACATTTTAGAGAGCACAATGAAATAGAACAATCAGAAATTGGTGGATATTTCTGTTGATCGAATCATTGAAGTGGAAACTTAAAGCATGATGTATCTGCTTCTATAAATACTGGCTGCCTTTTTTCAACCAGCAAATAAAACTGGAATTTTCTTTTTGTGTCTGACACTGTAGAGGATTGTTTTTGCCTTGGACTTTGTTAACGGCCACCAGCTTCTTCATGGGTAAAACTCATCAGGTGTTCTCCACTTGGGCAGTCATTTATGATGTCAGGAACTGTAAGCATGTTCCGATCACGTTTTTTTTTTTTGCTTCCATTCAAAGTCATTTAATTGTGAGTATCTGCCCATACCAAGTCCTGAATCAATATTTCAACAAAGCATTAAAATAAAAAGAAATAAGGGAAAACACATCCAAGTTTTTTTTTTCATATTTTTTATTACTATTTAGGCATTTCTTTCTGTCTGTATTTGTCATTTCCTTAGTTTATCTGCCAAAAAACATCACTCAGGAAAACTGATAAAACATTTGTTAAAATTATGAATATATTAAAAATTTGTCCAGCTGCTCAAATTTCTAATTGTTTACATGCTCATTACGTGGCTCTTTGCCCATAACAAGGGAAGCATATGGCAGCGTGGCCAGCAGGCTAACTTTTATCTGCACATCGCCTGTAACTATTGGTAGTCCAACACGGTCCACTCAGGTGCTTCAGATTGAGAAACTACAACGTTTTGCTGTCCGTCAGCAATTTCTCTATGTTTATTAACGTAAGTTACACTGTTGGCTGGCTTTGTGATTTTGTTAGAGATGCCGCTGTGAACTGGGACTTAATGCAGACAAACGATTTGCTGTGATGACTCCTGAAGGGAAAAATCTGAAGGAGAAAAAGTTGATTGTTTTGAAGGCTGCTTACTGTGCAGCTGTCTTTTCCAGCATGTTGAATGTCCAGTATGCACACATTATAAATGGCTGTCACACTGTCTTTGCTGTCCAATTTAAAATACCAGCAAAATACAGACATTTTAGCTCTTCTGTGGAAACACATTAGGTCTGCATTAGCCTAGCTAGCTAGCTAACAGCTGCATGTCTGAATCCCTGCCTGCCATAAATTGTGCGAGGTAATGATGTTGTTTTCTTCCAAGAAATAAATAGTACTGATGTACTTGTTGAGATGAAAACTAACACATTGTTGTTTTGTTTGAATTCTCTATGAACTGAAAGATTCATGTTTGTTGTTTATGAAATGAAATTTTCTCCCGATTCGGATTTTTTGAAAGTCACGTTTTTGGACCTGATTTCCGATCGGATCGGCGCATCCCTAGTAATGCTGGGTTCTTTTCTTCTCTCAGACATCTGACACAGCAGCAGAGTTGATGAAGTTAGGAATATTTCCTTCTGTAAATTATGTCTGACTTCTGTATCAGGAGCTCAGACAAAATCAAAAATCTGTTTCAGTTCACAAAACTAGAACTAGTGTGTTGTACTCACCCTAAGAGGTTTTACTAACAACAATAGCAGGCCTAAATGCTGATAGTCAAAGCTCTGCTTGTTTTAAATGATGGTTGATTGTATTGTTTTTTTTCTCTTCTGATAGCTCTATTACGTGTGACTACTGGCTGTAAAACCTTGTCCTGTTTCCTTTTACAAGTTGCATTGACACAGAACTGGATAAGACACCTACTGTAAGATGATCTTTAGTCACTGATAACGTCTCATTTGTACAGCAGGAGCAAAGCACGGAACTCGATGGGTGGATTTCAACAGGAATATTACCGGAATGGAAGCCACTCCTTGTACAAACTGTCCTTGTAAAAACATTTTTTGTTAGCTCATTGAAGACAGAATACAGGGAACAAGGCACAATAACTGACACGAAACTTCATGGAAGTAGTTAGATCATAAAGCAGTATAAATTAGTACCTTTGACCACCGCAGTGTTGGATTCCTGGTTGTGAATTGGTTTCTGTGGCTCTGAGTTGCTTTAGTCCTGATCTTGAGAGTTTTATTTAAAACACCTGGACTTTCCTTGTTATCTTACAGACAAGAAGCTTCTTCAGTTCTAAAAGCTGCAGCTGGAAGCCTTGTAATGCTTTTAACCCATCTCTCCACATAAACCAGGAAAAACAAAACCCGGTTTGCAGGCATGCCGAAAAGTCTATAGCTGAAAGACCGACAAGCTAAATACAAAGTTTAGGACAGAACATTAACCCAGATATTTTATTAATCTAGAGAATAACTGATTCTGGTTTTTTGCCCCAAACAGAAACTGTGGTGACTTCTTTCTTTTTTTCAATGATAAGGCTGCAGCTGTTTGAGCTGAAATTGTGGATTCCCCTCCTGTTCTTGTGGTACCAGTGCAGCCCCAGGCTACACTGACAACCTTTGAGACTGTGCCCATAACTGAGCTAGAAAAGTTGGTTGCTTAGCTGAAGCCATCTGAATCTCCTTAAGATGTTCTGCCCCCTAGAATCTTTAAGGAAGCATTCCCGGTCCCATAAATGGCAGTTTCACCCAGTGTGGTTTCGGCTACTTTGAAGAAAGCTGCTTTTCATCCAATGTTGAAAAAAACTCTGTGTTAGGATGGGTGAAGCCTCAACTCCTTGGATAGGACTCTGCTGGGGCATGCTACAGGGCTCTGTCCTTGGTCCCCTTCTGTTTGAGGTATATCTCCTACCCCTGGGGCTCCTCCTTCGTCGGCATGGTGGAAAGTTCCATCTTTATGCCGATGATTGCCAGATCTGTCTTCGACTCCGGCGGGGGACTGGTGGATCTGTCTCACCACTTCTGAACTGCTTAAAGGTAGGCAGAGGATGTTTCTGAAAGGAAAGAACCGCCCTCTCCACGTTTTGAAAAAAATGCACATGAGAGAGAACGTCCAGTAATCCTCATGCATGTTCTGTTTACAAGTAGCTGCCAGCCTTGCAGCACATGCTCACTCAAGAAAAGAAGATGAGCGTTTTCTCAACGTCAGATTTATATTTATTTATGTGCAGGTTATTTTTATTCAAATTTTTGGCATTTTATTTTATTTATTAATTCTTCCATCTGTATTGTACTACTGCTGTCTGTCTACCTCTGCATTTTATTCCTTTTCTGATTTGTTTATGCTTCCATAGATTATGATTTTCCCCCCGTGGGATCAATAAAGTATTTTCACTGGGAAAAAATTCTCTGCTAATAACCACTAGGTTTATTCTCCTTTCAGAATCAAACATTTCTTCCCTGGCAAGTTAGAATATAGTCATAGATAACTTCTTCTAGCAGTAATCTGAGTGGAATTTCTCCAAATAGCATGCCGAAATTTAGATTACCCGTCAGGCCAAAAACTGGCGACAGAGGCATCTGTGGGTAGCCCAACTTTCACTTTCAGCACACACCATAGTTGAAAAGAGTATCCTAAAAAAAATTCTGGTCTTATATCTGACTTCAGAGACCTTTCTCTTCTTATCATAGAAGACACTTATTCTTTTGTGACTCTAAGAACCCAGTGAGAACACCGAGGTAAAATAAATGGATGATGGCGTACCGCTCTACACATAAACAGAATGCGCATGTGCAGGAAATGAAATTGAACCCAGGATTGAGCACGTACAATGACGGACTTGCGTGAAAGCTTCATCAGAATGATTGACAGTTATGCTGATCAATGGTTCAGATGATCCACCTGGAAGCAAAGATCCTCCGCTATACCTTTAAGAGACGTTAGATCCTAGATGGCTTTAAATGTTAAAGTCCTTAATGACACAAAACTGAAATCATAATTCTCACCCCCGCTAGCTTAGATGGCTCAGGTTCTGATGTGGGCCTTGACCCTCTGTTGCCATTTGAAAAGAAAGTAGGGATAAAAATTGACCCAATTCGATGCACAAATGAAAATGATTGTGTGGCTCTGTTTTTTTAATCTGCGACACCTGTCCAGGATCTAGCCCTGTTGCCTAGGGCACACCTGGAGTCTGTTATTTATGCATTTGTCCTGTCCTGACTGCCTTGTATGCCAGTCTGAGTTAGGGTGCGGTTGCAAGGCTCCAGCTCGTCCATAACTCTGCTACAAGATTTCTGACAGGCACTTGATGCTGGGAACATATCACTCCGGTGCTGGAGGCCTTACACTGGCTCCCAGAGCAGTACAGAGCCAAATTTAGAATCCTCCTACTTGCGTACAGGGCTCTTCAAGGGACTGCCCCCTCCTATCTGTCAACACTACTGCACAGATATGTCCCATCTTGGTGTCTTTGCATGACTGAGCGGTAGCTGTTGGTGGTTCCCCCGCTTCAAATACAGAACAAGGGGGGGATCATGCATTCTTGTTAGATCAATGGTCTGGAACGAGTTACCTTTGAGTATTCAGCCCAATTTATACTTCTTTGTCTGCGTCGGGGCGGACGCACGCAACGCCATTATCCGTCCTTTCAAAGGCTCTCCGACAGGCTTGCAAGGATGGACAGAGTCAAGCTCTATTTTCTAAACATCTGTCCGTCAAGACGGAGAAAGCAAGCTTGTGATTGGTCAGGACACCAATGTTGTCTACAGTGCCGCCATTGCGCCCTCAAAAACATAAAGAGAGCCGA